TAAATGATAAGATCTTTGTGAATTGGGTCTGTGTAGAACCTACTCTGGTGGCCTCCGTTGTCCCAACACAGGGCTTAGAAGGCATGAAATACTTAGTCACTATCATTGAATTGAAAGGAATGGGAGAATATTGAAGGGGGGAGACTAGAGGAGGCTCAGCTGGCAGCTGTGGGGACTGTGAGGGGTCAACGTCTGAAGTTGGAGTAACTGCAGATGGGACCTGAACCACCAATATCCCAGAATCCTAGAGGCCAGGTTGGGGTCTCGAACTCTAGGTTCTCAGGGGAGCCTCTGTAGGCCAGGGCTAGACCCCTAAGTGGGCCATGACATCTGTCTTTGAGGGCCACTTACGAGGACTGAAGACAGCTATGCAGGGAATGGGGCAGCCTTTTGCCTGAAACCCTAGGATGACACTTTGGGGGCTGGATTGGGTATCTCATACTCTTTCCCTCCCTAATTGATGGATTACCTTAGAATTGGTTACTGGGGTATTGTCTCTCCATCCATTTCATTACATTCACTTAATTTTGCTTATTTTTTACTTAATTACATGTAAAAACAATTTTTAACATTTGGTTTTTAAAATTTTGAATTCCAAAATTTTGTTTCTATCCTCCACCTTCCTTGAGAAGGCAATTTGCTATAGATTATACATGTGCAGTCATGCAAAACATTTTCATGTTAGTCATGTTGCAAAAGAAAACAGACAAAAAACCCTAAGAAAAATAAAGTAAAAAAAAGTATGCTTTGATCTGCATTCAGACTGTATCAGTTCTTTCTCTGGAGGTGGATAGTGTTTTTCATCATGAGTCCTTTCGATTGTCTTGGATCATTGTATTGCTGAGAAGAGCTAACCCAAATTTACAGTTGATTATCGTACAATATTGCTATTACTGTGTACAATATTCTCCTGGTTCTGCTCATTTCACTTTGTATTAGTTCACATAAGTCTTTCTTCATTAGAATGTTAGCTATTAGGGGTTATTTTGTTCTTTGAACTTGTGTCTCCAGTACAGTAGCTGTTCAGATATAGTAGCTGGTGTTTAATAAATGCTTCCCCCCTACCCTGAGGCAATCAGGGTTAAGTGACTTGCCCAGGGTCATACAGCTAGTTGTTTGTGTGGTTTGTCATTCATTCTGGAAGAGGACCATGACATCAGGGAGATGATGATGTGACTTGTAATTGAATTGGATTACAGTGAGGGAGGGCTGTGCAAAGTCACCAGCCTCACTTTCTCCTCCAGAGCCATCTGGGTCCAGTGGCCAGAGATAGATCAGGATGACTGGAGATGGCCCAGGATGTAGTGGGAGACCTTGCCCTTTTTAAGCTAAAGTCTTTTCAAGTTCTCACTTTGAGTGAAGCAACACCCATTCAGTGAATAGGTCTCGTTAGCCCAGAAGGTCAGAGCTGGGAGGGCCCTTAGAACAGAGAAAGTCAGAGTTGGGAGGGGCCCTAGGTCGTGGACCAAAAATCAAGCAGTGATTCTAGAATCAAGAGTGATTCTAGAAAGAGTGTAGAAGTCTAAGTCATGGGCCCTGAGTTCCAATCACAGCTTTCCCCCTTAATACCTGTGTGACTGGGGCAAGTCATTTCATTGTTGTGTCTTGGTTTCCTCATGTAAAATGAGGAGGTAGGACTCTTAGAGATCACTCTAAGAGAACTTAAAGATCATACAGCTAGTAAGTGTCAAGTGTCTGATGCCAGATTTGAACTCAGGTCCTCCTGACCTCAGGGTTGGTACTCTATCCATTGCACCACCTAGATGCCCCAATAAATGCTTCTTGGTTGGTTGACATACCTACTATGGGCCAGGCACTGTACTAGGCAATGGAGATGGAAAAACAGTTGGTAGATAAGGAAAGGCTCTGGAAAGGTTTTTCAACAGAAGGTGGCTGAGCTAAGTCTTAAGGGAAGTGAGGTGTTCTAAGAGGCAGGGGCTTCCTAGGCAATGGGGAAATGGAGGGGAGAAGACAGGGCAGGGGATGGAGAGTTGATTTGGGAGAACCACAGATAGTCCAGTTTTGCTGGATTGGAGTGTGGATAAGAGCAACATGCCATCAGCCTGGAAAGGTAGGTGGGAGACAGATGGTGAAGTCCAAAGCTGAATTTCTATTTTATCCTGGAGGCAGGAGGGAGTCACTGACATTTCTTTAGCAGGGAAGTGACATGGTGTGGGTCCCATGGCGCCAGGCATAGACTGCTGTACATACAGCCTGCAGATTACCAGTCTCTCTGGCAATGAGCAGAGCTGTTCTGGGCCAAGACACCCAGAGCCATCTATATTCATACCATTTTGAACCTCTTTCCTCAACTGGGAAAAAAAAATTACATAAAATCCTCCCTAGTCACTAAGTCCACTGTAAGGGAGGCCAATAAAACCTTTGAAAGGCAGATGGTGTCATGAACAGCACTGGAATGGGAATTGGAAGATGGATTCTGGTTGTGGTTCTTATTTATTAGCAAGTCACTAACCCCTCTCTGGGCCTTGATTTTTTCATCTGTAAAGTAAGTCAGATGGACAAAGTGCTCTTGAAGGTACTTTCTAACTGATACTGAATCATGTGGTCATAGAGTTGGAAGGGACCGTGGAAGTCACACAGTCCCAAACCCCTCCCCCCCTTTTTTACAGATGAGGAAACTGAGGCCCAGAGGGGTTACGTGACTTGCCTAAGGCCACACAGGCTAAAAAGTGAAAAGCCGGGATTTGAACCTAGTTGTTTCAAATCCATTGCTTTTCCAAAGGCACCACTGTCAGTCAACAAACATTTATTAATAAATATTTACTGTGTATGGTGTATGCCAGGTACTGTGCTAAATTCTGGGAATAGAAAGACAGAGCTTGAATACTAATGAGGCAGCACAGAGAGAGAGAGAGAGAGAGAGACAGACAGACAGACACACAGAGACAGAGGGAGGGAGACAGAGAGAGGGACTAGATTTGTGATGTCATTGCCCAGGTAGGAAACTCCTTCTATCAGTGCAGCTTAACACCTTGCCTGCAAATTCTAGTCTTGGAGAGCTGCCTAGGACTCTGAAGGTTAATGGACTTGCCCAGAGTCACACAGATAGTATGTGTTGGTCAGTATTTGAACCCACGTCTTTCTGATTTTATTGGTTGATTTTTTTCTAATCACTGTGCCAGCCTGCTTAGGGGAGAGGTTTGGAGAAAGGAGGCATCAGGAAGGTCTTTATTTATAAAGTGGTACTGGTGGATGGTGAAATGGATAGAGTGCCAGGCCTGGAGTTAGGAGAGGATATGAGTTCAAATGTGGCCTCAGAAACTAGCTGTGTGACCCTGGGCCAGTCACTTCACCCTGTTTGCCTCAGCTTCCTCATCTGTAAAATTAGCTGGAGGAGGAAATGGCAAACTACTCCAGTATCTTTGTCAAGAAACCCCAAATGGGGTCAAGAAGAGTTGAATGGAACTGAAAAAAGACTAAACAACTTGAACTGTCTTGAAGGAAACCAAGAATTCTGAGGGTGTGGGGTAAGAAGGGGGTACCATACATTCTAAGAACGGAGTAGGCCAGCCAATGCAAAAGCCAGGAGGAGGGAGAGGGAATGTGTATTATGGGAAGCAGCAATTGGGCCTAGGATAGCTGTTATCACCTAAGTGAGAGAGGAGTAAATGTGTGAGACTCCTAGTAAGCTGGGAAGTTCTTAGGTTGGAACTATGGGATTCTGCTAAGAATCAGGCAGGCATTAAGCAGGAGTGTAACAGGATGCTAATGCCTAAGATTTCATGCACCCTTGTTCAGTCATGTCTGACCCTTCCTGACCCCATTTGGGATTTCCTGGGCAAAGCTACTGGAGTGGTTTGCCATTTCCTTTTCTGGCTCATTTGACAGATGAGGAAACTGAGGCAAACAGGGTGAAGTGACTTGTCCAGGGTCCCACAGCCAGTAAGTGTTGGAGGCCAGATTTGAGCTCAGGTCTTTCTGACTCCTGGCCAGGTTCTCCATCCACTTCACCACTTACACCTCGAAAATCGATAATCGCTATGAGTCAATGCTCGATTTATTGTTTGGTTCATTGTCTAGAGACAAGAAAGTGATGTAGAGAATGTTAACAATGCGGATTAAGCTTTAAAGTTATGTCGTGGGCACACATACATATATTTTTTCTTCCAGAGAGCTTGTTGCTAAACATTTGCCAGCACGAGGCAATCAGGATAAGGGTAGTGGGATAGGTAGGACACCACCTTTGGGAAGGGGGTGAGGGGAGACAGTGTTAGAAAGTCAGAGCTGGAAGGATGGTTAAAGATGTGCTCCAAACGCGAATTACAGAGGAAGAAACTGAGCCCCAGGGACGTTTCAGAACCCTTTCACATTAGGTGAATCAGATGCCGAGTAGCCCTTGTCCAGATGCCCCGGCGGGCCTGGCGCAGGGCCAGCCGGAGCGAGTGCCAGGTGCTAGGTGCAGGTGCCAGGCTCCCTCCAAGTTCCGCCAATGGGCAAAAGTGCCGCACTACAGAGGAGGGCTCAGGGGTGGGGCTACCGCATTTGGCATCCCTGCTTCCAGCTGGCTCCCCTTATGTTTCTCTGCCTCTTGCCTGCCGGCCTCTCCTGGGGCTGGAACGTTCCCCCGCCCCCTTTCCCGGGCGGGAACGCCTGGGTCCCACAGGGCTGGCTTCCCACGTGGGTGAGGCGCGAGAGCTAGAACCCGGCCAGGGTTTGGAGCAGGGGTTCGGCCCGCGCGTGCGCATGCGCCACTAGCTCTTTTCCTCCCCCTTCCCTTCTCTGCCCTCCCGCCCCTTCCTCCTCCTTACTGGTCTCAGGAAAGGGGGGCGGGAGGGCGAAGCCGGAGCTTGGCCTCAGCCAATGGGCTGGGGGCCCGCGGGCCCGGCCCCCTCCTTCCCTCGAGCGCGGTCCAATCGGAGTTTACTACAATGTTGTGGGGCACGGAGGCGGGGAAGGGGGAAGCTGAGGAGCAGCTGGGGGAGGGGGAGGCGTGCGGGCGCGCGTGAGGGCCGAGAGAGCTGGGGCCGCGGCGCCGCCGGGGACTGTCGCCAGGGGGAGGCGCGCGCCAGGCCGCCCGTTCCTTCCTTCCTCCCTTCCTTCGCTCGCTGCTTGTGGCGGTCGGTTGGTCAGTCAGTCAGTCAGGCGGGCAGCCCGCGAGGCGGCGGCGCCTCCTGCCATTGTTCCTCGGGCGGCGGCGGGAGCGGGAGCGGCGCGAGCATCCCGAGCCCAGCACGGTGAGGCGAAGCGAGGCGGTCCGGGGCCGGGCCGGGGCTGAGGCCGGGGCCGGGGCGCGCGGGCGCGGAGCTGTCCCTGAGGGGACGGTCCTGGCGCCGCCGGCGGCGCAGCCTCTTTGTCTGCGGCAGCGCCCCTGGAATCCCCGAGCCCGGCGGCCCGAGGCCTCGCCGCGGGAGGGGGCTCCCCATCTGGAGCAGGGAAGCGGGCGATTTGGACCGGTGGGGAAACTGAGGCCCAGGGGGCGAGGGACTCGCCCAAGGTCACCCTGCAGGTTTGAAGGCGGGACCTCTGGCGGCGAGTCTGGTGCTGAGGCTCGGGCCCCTCGTTTTCCCGAGGAGAGCTCTGGGGCTCGCGGATGTCGGGGCGCAGACCGTGGGTGGGGGGGATGGAGGATTTCCAAAAAGTTTTTTTCTTTTTCCTCATCCTCCTCCCCTTCTGTTCAGGTCATGTAGGGTCCGCGGCCACGGACTGACTCACTAGGGGCACCCCACCTTTCCCAGATGCTATTATTAATCCTTATTAATAATATAGGTCTTGTTATGACAATAACAATAGCTAGCATTTACATAGTATTTTACACGTTATTTCATGTTGTCCTCACAACCCTGGGAGGTAGATGCTCTCATCCCTGATTTACAGATGAGGACACTGAGGCTGAGAGGTTCAGTGATTTGTCCAGGGTCACCCAGGTAGTAAGGGACTGGGGCAGGATTGGAACTCAGGTCTTCTGGATTTCCAAGTCCAGCACTCTCTCATCTAACACACCTAGGGACCTCTAGAACCGGAAGGGACCTGAACGGTCATCTAGTCGAACCATCTTGTTTTAAAAGAGGAGGAAATCTAGGGCCAGAAGACCTGCCCAGGGTCACCTGGGGCCAGTAAGTGGCAAAACTTCGATTTGGACCCAGATCCTCTGACTCTTAAGTCCTGTGCTTTTCCCTCCCCACTGCCTAGGCTGCCTCTATAAATCTTTACAGAGTGTTTTCTTCATTGCAATCCTGTGAAATTATTATTATTCCCATTTTAAAGAAGAGGAAAATGAGGCTTAGGAGAGGTGACAAAACTAGTCTTGGTACTGGAATTCTGCAAAGGTTCTGACACCAAAATTTGACTGTAATATGCGTGTGTGTGTGTGTGTGTGTGTGTTGTGGGGGGAGAAAAGCAAACTGAAGGCTTTGAAATGCCACAGGTATATGCATATGAGAGATAATAGTTTGTATTCATATAGTACTTCCAAGTTTACAAAGCACTTTCCTCATGGCAAACTTGTTCAGGGAAACTGATTTACTTAGAGGTCATATGACTGATTCATGGTCACCCAGTACACATTTGAACCCAGGTCTCTAGAGTCACAAATCCAGGAGTCATTCTACTTCCCTGTTACCTTCTATCATAGTGCTGGTATTTTGGTGGCAGATTCCATGCTACTTCCTAGCGAGATGGTTTTGGGCATTTGAGAAAAATATACTTTTAATAGTCTCTCAATTTGAGAGATTAAGCATAAATGTATATTTTGTTTTTAGGATTCTGTGAAATCAGAGGGTTATTTATTTTGGCATTGTGACCACACACACACACACTAAAATTTACTAAGAATTGTATTGTTATCTTACCTATGCAGATACTGGATACTAGACTTGTCTTTAGAATTTCATCATCAAGCTATTCTTGCTGAGGTTTTGCCCAAACAGGTTTATTCTTCCTAGGAACAGGCATTCTCTTGAGAGAGAAAGTGATCTCATGTGGAACAAATCGCTGATGGATTGGTTTCTAGCCACATGATAGTGACTGTCATGCTGTTGTTTTCTTGACTGTACTCAGTCATAATTGAATAGTCTTTGGAGACTCTCTGGCATGTGTGTTAGAGATTTTTTGAAAGATGCAAAGCTTTTTTTTTAGTAATTTGGATGGTTTCACAGTTGCTATTTTGTTCTTTCTGCTTTTAGGGAAAACTGAAATAAATGGTTGTGCTCTGAGTATTATTATAATGGGTTTTATGACAATTCTTTCATTCCTTACTCTTTCCATTGTCTGTCTGAATTTGAACTGAAGCCTTTTTTGGTTTGGCCATTTACTTGAAGCCACCATTTATTTCATTTTTAAAAATCCCCTTTAATTCCAGTTCTGCTCTTGTAATATAAATCCCTACTGAAAAATGAAGACGTAGGATACAGCCCTCTTTCCGTTCTCTACATCTTATAAATTCCTTACCTTCTAGATACTGGTATTTTTAGGAATTAGTTTTTTATGTGAAGTTTAAACCGGTAATAATGGCTAACATTTCTGTAGCACTTACTGTGTACCAGGCACTGTGCTAAGGACTTTACAATTATTGTCTTATTGGATCTTGTTTTCAAGGTGTTCACTTTGTTTTCCATTTCTTAAATATAGGGTGGCGTTGATTACTATTCCTCCTCAGAATTCTGCAAGTGTCTTTCTCGTGTGAAGGAGGAAAAAGTCAAACTTTTAGTTCTTATTGAGGAGAAAGTGTTCCTTATAAAGTTTTACTCTGCCAACTTTGTTAACTAGCCAACCAGGACGGAAAAATCAAGAGAATGTTTGTGTTTCTGACGTTTGTGTTTGAGCTGCGTTTCCTTTAGTTAAAACAGTGATATAGTAAGTTCATTCTTTAGCAGAGGTTGACAGCTTCCTGTGATTCTTTCCAGTTCTTAATTTACACATTTCAAATAAAAAATTCTTTGGCTTTTCAATGGCCTAGAGCATAAGGAAAGGAGAAAGGGTAAATTGGTATGTGCTCACATTTAATTAAACTTTGTAATCAATATAGATTCTTCAGTCAGGAGGGATGCTAAACTTTTCTTTGGACCTTAAAACACTCCATGTGATATTTCCATTTAGGTTCTTAAGTTTGTTCAAGATGTGATCCAGAAGTTTTAGAACCAGGTGCAGGTGCTGAATGAGTTAGGAGCTAATTCTTCAGTTGTGTGACTGAACACTAGAAGTATAGAAATTGATTGTATTGGTAGTGTTGTCATTAGTAACAGGTGCTATGTTTACACAGTATCTCTTTTTCAAGCATCCTAAGACACTTGACATAGAATTTTATTGATAGTCCTTTTAGGAAGATAGCTAGTGGAAAGTTTTCCAGGAGTAATCAAGAGGATTAAATATAGCAAATCACAGAAATTCAGTTTCCTAGGTTCAATACAACAAACATTTATTAAGAGCTTGCTATGTGTCAGATGCTGGTGTAAGCTACAAAGACAGAAAAGTGACAGTCTCTGCCCTTAAGGGGTTTATATTTCCCCTATGGTGTGGTACAGCATGTTTACAATTAAATACTAGATTTATACAAAAATAATACGAAGTAATTTCACACTGGGGGAAGACACTAATGGGGGGGGAGAGAAGGGAATCAGGAAGATGCCCTTGTGAGAGGTAGCACTTGAGCTCAGCCTCAAAGGGAATTAGGAAATTCCAAGAAATGGAGGTGAGGGAAGAGAGCCTTCCAGGCTGGAGGTGTGGGGGTAGGAGGGAAGTGAGGGTGCAGCCTGTACAAAGGCACAGAGGTGGGGGAGGAGAATTCTGGTATTAATGGAATACAAACTTTTAGTGAAACTCCTCTGAAATTTCCCCAGATCTTAATTTCTTTTTTTCATAAGGAAGGTCTTCTTGATCTCCATTTCAAGCCACTGGAGCTCCATTGTATACCACAAGGGTTCTCAGCCTGGCTACTTATAAGCACAGGGTCTATGAGAAACTTTTCAAGGGGATGTGGGAATATTTGGTAAATAACTATAATTCTATTGAAATTAGCATTTTAATTTTATTTCTTGTGAGCATGTATTTAATGCTAGAATTCATTTCCTTTCATGTTGAATAGAGAATAATGGAGTTGTTTCCCTCTTAGAATTTAAGCTGGGAGCAGGAACTATTTCATTCATTGTATTTGTAGCCCCACAGCGCCTGACACATACAATGCACTTAATAGTTACTTGTTGACTTGTTTGTTTACTGAAAGCTTAAAGGTAAGGGACTTGAAAAGAGGCAGAGAACCACTGGTATACGGGTAATACAAATAAAAAGCTCCAAATACTACTGCTATTTCCCTGGTATGTTCATTCATTTATGGAGCACTGTGCACATGTCACTATATCCTTTGTTATTTTTATTTTAAACAGACACATGTCTGGGTCCTCATGTAATGAGGGAATCTAAACCTCTTAAGCTGAAGGCTTGTGTCTTAAACACTGTGGATTATGCAAAGTGGAGCTGTCTGAAATGGTAGGTCAAATAGAATCAAGTGAAATTCAGGAAGGGTAAATGTAAAGGTCAGTTTTTCTGTACTTGTGAAATTTTTTTAAAAAACTCATCTACAGTATGTGAGAGTTGTGGACAGATAGAATTGTCTGAAGAAGATCTGGGGTGTCTAGCAGACTTTAGGTTCGGAATGAATTTTGATCTAGCCTCCAAAAATGTTAATGCCATCTTAGGTTGCAAGGAGGGAAACAAGGCTTGGAGGACTAAGGGAAGAGTTGAAAGGCCATCTTATTGCAGAGGGATTGGACTTATTCTGCTTGGCACAGAGGATTGGACTAGGAGGAACAAATGCAAGGTGCAGAGACATATTTTGGCCTTGAACTCTTCCAGATTAGGCAGATCAGAACTGTCCAGACGGGGAATGGACTGTCTTAGGAGCATAGTAGATAGGAAATGCTTGCTGATCGGTTATTGTATTTGGTGGAGAGGGCATTTTTGTGGTTGTCTGGGCTGTATTAGGTACTCTCCGAGGTTCTAACTCTGAGATTTCAGTCATTTTACGTGGTCCTTGCCTTTAGAGGTTGCCGTTTCCCAGGGGTGATAAGAGATATATAAATAACTATACTAGGAAGTATATTTCTTTAATATTTTTCTACATTGTCTTACCCTCTCTACTAGATTGTAAATTCCTTGAGGGCAGTGACTTTCTTGTTTATGTTTATATTTCCCTCAGCACTTAGTGCTTACTAAATGTTAAATGAATCCAAAGCAAAACACA